CGCATTGGTGGCAGGGCTGACCGGGGTGGCGAGCAGGGTCTCGGGGGTGGTGGTCCTGACCTGTGTCTCCACAGCCTTCGGAGGCTCTTCCCCTCGGGAGGCTCCGTGCGTGGCTGCATCAAGGGTATCAAAGCTCTGGGCAAGTACGTGGACCTCAAGCGGCTGAACACGACTGGTGTGAGCGCTGGCTGCACGGCTGACCTGCTGGTGAGCAGCCTCCCCTTCCCAAGGTAGTGTCTCCGGGCATGCCGCAGCACTGAGATAGTCAGGGCCGCCCTTCTTGCAGGTGGCCCGCGCCATGACTTTCCACGGCCACGGCTTCCTGCCCCTGGCGCTCCCTGAAGTGGGGACCCTCACCGGCGACATCTACTCAGGCTTTGGCTTCCGCAGCACCCAGGACAGCGCCCTGCTCTACTACCGGGCATCACTGGTGAGGCTGCCCGCCCCCACCTTCCCGGCTGCTGACCCCTACCAGCTCCCCTGGCCCCTGCGGAAGCGGCAGTGGGGACATCAGTCTGGGGGCTTGGGTGGCTGGAGGGAGCCAGTCTGTGACCCTGGCCCGGCCAGCTAATTTGGCCATTGTCCCCAGCATGGGCTGTGTCAGGTGTCCCTGCAGCAGGGCCAGGTGACGCTCCAGCTTCTGAGGACTGAGGTGAGGAGTCGAGGGGGCTTCGCCGATGGCGTTCCCCATTATGTCACATTCTACAGCAACTCTACAGGGTGAGCATGGCTGTCGGCCTCTTCTCAGGGGTCTGGAGGGCTGCCTGCCTGTGCCCACTAGGCCTGCATCCCCTCTGGGGCAGGAGAGGTGGGTGGGACCGGGGAAGAACAGTACCCTCCCACACCCAGGGTCTGGCTGTTCGTGGATGACCAGCTGCAGCAGATGAAGTCCCACCGGGGGCCACCTCCCAGGCCCCAGCCCCAGCCCCACCCCGAGGCACCCCCAAGGCTCTTCCTGGGAGGCCTGCCTGAATCTGGCACCTTCCGCAACTTCAGTGGCTGCCTCAGCAATGTCTTTGTGCGGCGGTAAGCCGGTGGGTGTGTGGCGAGGGTTGGCTGGGGCAGCTGCCCCTTCCAGCGGTTGGCCACCTACACGCCTGCCGCTCTCTGCAGGGTCCTGGAGCCCCAGCGCGTGCTTGACCTGCAGCAGACCACAGGCAGTGTCAATGTGAGCACAGGCTGTGCCCCTGCCCCGCACGGCCGGACCCTGGGACTGGGGCCACGAGGACTGCAGGCTGCAGCTCGAAAGGTGGGGTACCGGTGGGGAGCGGGCAGAGCTGGTGGGGACAGGAGGGTGGCCCCCACACAGGCAGCCCCTGCATTCCCTATCCATGCCCCCAGG